TGGGCAGAGAAAAATTTTTTTCTCTGACTTCTCTCGCCCAATAATCGGTCTCTTCAGAGCCCTCTTGTTCTAATCAATCAATAATTTAATAGGGGTAATATTGTAGTAATTAATTAATATCTGAAAAGAATTTTAATTTAACTAAATTTACATTTAGAATTAAAATAATTATTAAATTTATCAAAAAAATTAATTTAAAAATTAAAATATAAAACAAATTCGGAGAAAAAAACTACCGTATTTGACAAATTAATGTATTTTTATTGTAATACATATGTACATAAGTCTTAAATGGGAAATGAAAATTTTATTAAAGTAAAAAACAAGCAATACAATTTTTTTATTAAAATTAATTTAATAATTTTATAGTTCCTTTTTACCACGTAAATGTTTAATTGAAATTTACAAAATAATTGGTTGTAATTTAATTTATTAAAATTATTTTTATAAAAATAAAAGTAAAAAAGCTTGCGTAAGGAATTTTTCTAATTAATGGACTCTCGCAGAAAAATTAATATAAGTCTCTCTCTCTTAGTAATGTCGCGATTAACTAAAAGTTGCTCTGCGTCTTGCATAGTAAATATTCAAAAGAAGGGAAGAAATATCGTGCGCGATTTTTTTCTCCAACTTTTAAATTATAATACAGATAATGTGTCCAGATGAAATAATGTGAAAAATTTAACTTTTAAATAATTTTAATTTCAAAAAGGAAATTTATAAAAATTAAATACAATTTAAAAGAAAAATATATTATTCTGATTTAGCGTGTATTAATTAAATATAAATAATTAATTTTTACTTTTTTGGGACAATTTTTAAGAATTATTCGTAAAAATTTTGATACAAAGAAAATACAATAATTCTGGTTTAAGCTTATAAAATTTTTTGTATTTTTATTGTTAAAAAAATTTATTTCCGTATAGTCTAAATAAAAATAAATTTGTATTAAATAAAAAATTATTTTAAGAAAATTAAATTTTAGTACGTGAGAAGAATAAAAAAATTCATATTTTAATTTAAAAAAATAATTTTTTAATTATTATTTAAGAAAACTTTATGTATTTAAAAAGAAGAATTGAAACAGAATTCAGCCTCGGACCTCGATTGCAGTGATGTCAAAGTTCAAGTTCCAGTTCCAGAACTAGAACTACGGAACTAACGATTATCTGGAACTAGTTTGGAACAAGAACTACGGAACTAGAAAAAGTGACGCAAAACTAAGGTGAAACTGAGTTAGATAAAAGCCAAAAATAAATTAAATTAATTTTTATTTACAAAAACATTTAGTTAAAGAATAATAAATATTGGGTATATTTATTTTTGATTTAATAAAGCTTTTGGAGAAATTAAATAATAAATGAGGAAAAAACAGATTTTATTAAATGTAAATTCTAAAAATAAATACAAAAATTGTAAAAACAAATTAAATATTTACTTAAAAATTATTTTTTATTTCCATCTGTCACACACCTTAAAATATTGTTTAATAATAAACAGAAGATAAATAAAAATTTATTAATAAAAATAATAAAACATTTTGGATTTGAATGCCATAAATTGCTTTAATAAAATTAAAATAAAGCAGGTGAACTTGCAATTTTTCTCGTTAGAGTGTAATTTTTAATGAGGAAATTGCTTAATAAAAAATTGGAATTTTTAGAGAAAAGTTTGAAAAGAAATTTTTAAATTTTTTAAGAAAAATTAATTATTTATTTAAAACAAGGAAGTTATGTAATAATAATTTACAATTTTATTTAAATTATTTAATTTCTTCACAAATTTTTTTTAAATTTTATTATCTTATTTATAATAAACAAACTAATAAAATTTAAAGCAACAAATACATATTATTAAATTATAAAAGTACTTTTTTGCTGCTAACTTTTCAGTTTGAAAAATAAAAAAGATTGATTGATGGCAGAATAAAGGAACTAAAACAAATTTAAAAAATTAGGGGAAAGTGTGGTATTGCAAAAATGCAGGGAAACTGTTTGAAAGATGTTATTTTGTCTAACAACTTTTAAATACAGTAAATACTCTAATAGAAGCCCAAGCCTTATTAGAGGCCGACTGTGAAATTCATTGAAAATAAACGCCTATGGCTTCTAGAAAACATTTACTGTATTTAAAAACATAAAACATCTAATAATATGTAAATAAGGCAAATAAAAATAAAAAAAAAAACAGGTGCAAAGTGTAGAATTAGATGTTTAATGTATGTAGAATCAGATGTTTAATAAAATAAAAATTAAAAACAAAATAAATTATTTCCCTATTTGTAATATTTTTGGCATTTGTATTTCTGCTTATTTTAAATTAAATAATGTTATTAATAACAAAAATAAATAAGCATAATTATGTATAATTAATATGTACATTAAGTAACATTAAAAAACAAATAATAATAAAATTATAACTTTCATTGAGGCATTAATTTCAATGACTAAGAAAAGATTATCTATTACTAAAAAATAAAAGACTATTATAAAAAAACCCAAAAAGTTTTTCCAAAGCAAATTTAAAGGGCACTGTTGGTGGTGTGAACATGCTACCTAAATCGTTTGGATTGAGTTGAGATTTAATCTAAACCTATCTCTCTATCAGCTAATTGTATATATATATATACTTTTATTTTCCAAGTAATACATAAGACTTAATTAAAGCATTGATATGTAAATATAACAAAAAATTTTATTTTATTTATTATTTTTGTGTAATTTTGCACAAAAAAATTTATTTATTTATTTAGAATTGTTTTTTAGAAATTTAATTATTTTATGCATATTATAGATATTATTAATTTAATATTAGAAAAACAAATTAACAATAATTTGGAAGTATATATGCAGATAATAATCATTAAAATAATAAAATTATGTTTTATGGTCAATGCATGGAGTACGTCGACTTTGGGACCGAATTGAGAGTCGAGTAATCGAGATTCAACTCAAACTAAAATACAACCCTCGTTATTGAATTGAGTCAACGTATGATTGTGAGAGTGTAATCCGTAAAATGTATTAGCGGACTTCCATGAAATTAAAATAAATCATTAGAAAAATAAGGATAAAACAGTGATAATTTATTTTCTATTTTTTGAATCAATTAGTAAAGCTACGGAGTAATACTAATTAATTTAATTTTCATTATCAAATTAAAAATGGGAGGAAATAAATTCAGTTTAAAATTTCTAAATAAATAAGTAGATGCACAAATTTGCATTTAAAATTTAATTCCAAAAAATCGAAGAAATGCAAAACCAATTAATTATTTAATTGTTTTTGAATAAAAATATTCATTAGCTAAGAAAATAAATAGAAGTTTTGTTTGCTAAAGTAAAGTAAAAAGGGAAGAAAATTAAAAAAATAAAAGATACCTAAGAAATTTTGTAGAATTAATGCTTAAATTTTATAGAAGAATGGGCAAATTTTAAAATTTAAGATTGAATCTGAGTTAAAAAAATTATCCTCTATTAATTTTTAATTTTTTTTGAGCTGATTAATTCCTTATAAATTAAAGACCTCAAAAAATTAAAAGAAAATTGAATACAGTCAAACATACCCCTTTCAAATGATAGATAAATTAGACCTCAAAAAGATATGTACATATATAAGAGAGATTTATTTTTAAATAAAGTAAAATGAGTAGGTAAATCTTTTAAAAGATCAAAGAGTAAATTTATTCTTTTACTTAAATTTTTCGGTTAACTTGAAAAAAACGACACTTTTAACTTCCGTCACATCCGCATTGTTCTCTTTTTTCTACATTTTTTATAGATAAAGACTAAATAAAAAATGTGTGTTTGTGTGCCAAATTCCCCTGAGAGACAAAAATAAATTTATAAAAAAAGTTTGAAGGAACGAAAGAATATATCTTCTTCTTCTTTTTTGGCTTTACATACAAATAGCTTTTTCCTAATGGCATGAGAATACCGAAGAGCCAGGTCAAGTGGAAATGGCAGTTAAAAAAGAAGAAAAGGAAAAAATATTGAAAAATTTAAAAATAATCTTTAAATAATCTATTATAAATATCGGCTCTGGTGTAGTTTATGCGTTCAATGAAAAATTATGAGTCATGAGATGATGAGGATTTCTACTGATATCACGACATTCTTCCAAATATTCTGATATCCCTTAATCCATCGATATCCCCCTTTAATCCCTCAAATCAAAAGACATCACCGTTAATTCCGCCAAATCCCTCATTATCCCCCTTAATCCCTTTAGATACCTTATTAAACTCGTAAAGAAATAAAAAATTTTGCCCTCCCATCATGTGGAGGACAAAAACCACGCAATTTTGTAAATTTAGGAAAGGGTTGAATTAATAATTCCCCTTTTAAATAATTCCTCAACCCGCGGATATGTTAAAATTAGTATTATAATAATTAAGAAAACGTCTTAAAAATATTTTTAATTTAATTCAAAGAAAATTCAAAATAGTAGCAAACAAAAAAAACGTCACAAAGCGCGGACAAAGTTAGTAGGTGAATAAAAAAAGAAGATAAAAAAGAATAAATAAAAAAATTGTTTGGAGGTAATTCAATTCTCTTCCCACAAGTCACAAAAAGAATTTAAAAAGAATGAAAAAAGAATAAGCAGATTTATATATTCAATGCGTGTTGCTTTTTTATAAAAAATAATGAAGAGAATCTTTCAAGTTTTAATAATAAAATATACTTTTGATAATAATTTTTATTGTACAATGGTTGTAGTCAAAGGTCACCCTTTAAAATTTATTTGTTTTTTGTTTTACGTATTTTAACTTAAAATGTTATAAATTAATGCGATTTGTGTCGAAAAATGTTAAAAGCATCAGATCCTTCAACAGAATTTTAGGCAAAGAAGCATAATATTCAACAAACTCTGCTTGTTAAAATTAATAAATTTGGCATTTTAAAGGAAATACAAAAATAAATTTACAATTTTTAAATTAATCTGCTTTACAATTTAAAACAATTATTAAAGTATTATTAAAAAGAATTTTGTTTTTAATTATTTTTACATCAATTTTTCACTTAACGAATCATTAAAATTAACGGTAGGGGTGATAAGCAATTCTATGTTGCCATTAAAGATGAGTTGTGCCAAAGTGCATGTTACATCTAAGAAAATTATTTTTAGTATTTAAAATTAAATTTTGATTATCCTTAAAAATAAGTTATGATCAAGAAACGTTAAAAATGTGTTAGAGCATCTTTTTAAAGTGAAGGGGTTATTTCTAATTTTTTCGTTAATTTCCTTACGATTAATATAATTAGATAAACGTCTATAAACTCCAAATCTTTGAAAAGCCTTTTCCCAAATAAATAAAATATAAATAGCCAATCCAATAGCCAAAATTAAAAGTCCAACAATTGAGGATTTAAAACTTTGTATAATTGTTATAGACACCAAAGAAAGGCAAACAATCACAAATATTATTGGCAAAATTAAAGGAACACGAATTGCTTTTTCGTGAACTGGACGTTTACAAATATTAAAACGGATATTGAAAAGGCAGAGCATTGTAATTGAACGAATTATCTGGGGGTTTTTTGAAGATTTTTATTTAATATTTTTTAAAAATTATTAGGAAAGTTAATGAAGTATTATCTGGGATAATCTTTAAAAATTCTTAGTTAAACTAAAATCGGATCAAGACTAATCTCGAACAAAAAATCTCTGATATTGAGATTAAAATTTTCCAAGATCTCCATTACAATTCTCTTACAACACTCGCAATGCGATATCTCATGACAATTTATATTTTTAAGTTTGAGTTTAGTCTTTAATTTAAAAAATACTCTCAATAATATCTAATTTTGTAGGTGATAAACAAAATAAAATACCCAAACTGTAAAGGCAACATAACTAATCATTTCCTCTAAATTGCCAAGAAATGAGAGAAACATTGCCAGAACAACCTTTATGAATTTAAATTTTAATTTACAAAAATCAAACGAACAAACAAACATGAACAAAAAGAGCAGCTCTAGGACTGTCGTGTTCTCTATTTATAACAGAAAAGAAGGCTGGTAAATGCCTTTCTCTAGCTGATGCCCAAAGGAATCGACTGCCTCCAAAAAGTGATGCATTTACTGAACTAATAATTTAAAAATTTAAAAAATTTTTGAAGAAAAAATTTTAAGAAAAAGGACAATTAAAAATACCCAATTAAAACGATGCAAACAAGTAAAGCAATTAAATATTTGAAATGAGGGCCCATTGTTTTCTCAGCAAATAACTTTAATTAATAAAAATAGTAATTTTTTTATTAATTAATGAAATAATCTTTTAAATTGAGACGCGGACAAGAAATATTTTGTTTCTTCCCCTTTCCCCTTCGGAATTTTGTTTTTATCCTCGTTAATAAAATAAATTTATTTTTTAATTAGAACTGTTTTTAAGATTATAATTTACACAGCGACATTTGCGCAGTTATTACTCTTAAAAATATCCCGGCCTTAGGGCGAGTCTTGATTTCGTGCCTTGGAAAATTTTTGGCCTTCCTCTTTTAGATATTTTATTTTTCTGTTTCCGTTCGCAGCTTTTTACAAATCGGTTTAGATGAAGAAAAAGTTTTAAATTATTATAAATTTATCTAAAAATCGTGCCATTGCAACAGCATGCGAGGATTGCATTTCTGACACCGACAGAACCATAAAAAATGACAAATTCATCAAAACATAAATTGAAGCGCAGACTATCATACTTATAATAATTGCAAAAGGCATAGTTCTGATAAATTATTTTAAAATATTTAATTTTTATTTAACCGTCAGTAGTCTATACACGACTTATAAGACAAAACAAGTTTTGTCTTAAAAGCCGCGTAAAAATACAATTCTATAAATTAAAATTAATTTTTGAAAAATAAAAATATTGAATAAAATTTTTAATTAAAAAAAATAAAGAAATTAATAAAAAATTTTTAAATTTATGGAAATCTAAACATGTAAATATAAATTATTACTTTTTTAGCAAACTTTTTAAAAATTCATATTTATTCCCCGAAAATTATCTTTGTAAAAATTTTCGATAAAATAAATATAAATTTTTAAATAAGTGATTTTTGAATAAATTAAATTAATTAATTTTTTAAGAAAAATTTTTTAAACAATTAATTTTTGCAGGAGAGCAATTAAATATTGTGAAATTAAAAGCTTTAAGCAATTTAAAAAATTTTAAGTAAGAAATTGTTAAAATGAATTTTTGAAGAAATAAATTTTTAAAACCTTTTAAAAAAATTATTCTTAATAACTTATTTTTAAAAGGAAAATTATTTTTAAATATTAAATTTTTGTCATAATAAAATTTTTAAATTATTAATTTTTGAAGCAACGATTTATAAATAATTAATTTGTTGAAATGAAGATTTTAACAAATTTTTAATTTAATAAATATAAAAATTTCAATAATTAATTTTAGAAGAATTAATTTTAATTATTTTAAATAAAAATTATTAAAGAAAATAAATATATATTTTTTAAATAATTAAAGTTTGAAGAATAAATGTAAATTTTTAAAAATTTTTCCTTCAAAAATTAATTACTAAAAAAATATATATTTTTAAAAAATTTTGAATTAATAAATAAATTTAAAACAAAAATATTTGAAGGAAAATGGAAAAGGGGGGAACACTTTTATAAAATAAACAAAACAAAAAGGAAAGACAAGGAAAAATTAAAGAGAAAAAATTTTGGATAAATTATAAACAAATATGTTTAAATAAAGATTAAAAGTCACTAAAAATGCAGGAAACAATTCTGATAGATATCATAAATGTGCAAAACCCAAAAAATATTGTTATGTGCAAAAAACGCATTTTTGATCTTTATTTAAACATATTTGTTTATAATTTATCCAAAATTTTTTTTCTTTAATTTTTCGTTGTCTTTCCTTTTTGTTTTGTTTATTTATTTAAAAGTGTAAAAAGTTGTATAAATTTCTTCCTCCCTTTTCCATTTTCCTTCAAATATTTTTGTTTTATTTATTTATTAATTCAAAAATTTTTAAAAATATATATTTTTTTAGTAATTAATTTTTGAAGGAAAAATTTTTAAAAATTTACATTTATTCTTCAAACTTTAATTATTTAAAAAATATATATTTATTTTCTTTAATAATTTTTATTTAAAATAATTTTTTAATTATGTCTTTCTTAAATAATTATTTATAAATATTATTTATAAATAATGATTTCTATAAAATTAATTATTGGAATTTTTATATTAAAATTATTTATTTAATCAAAAATTAAATATTTAAAAATAATTTTACTTCAATAATTACTTAATTAAAATTTTTATTAAATCAAATAATTAATTATTTATAAATAATTTTTATTCAAAGATTTAGTAATTTTTTCTTGGAAATTTTAAAAACATTTTCTTCATCAAAAAATTTAATTATTTAAAATAACTTTTCAACAAAAAGCTAAAAATTTTTCTTGGAAAATTTAAAAAATATTTACTCATCAAAAAATTAGGAGGTAAAAAATTTTTTCTTCAAAAAATTAAATTTTTAAATTATTTTTCTTCAAAAATTAAATACTAAAAATTTTTCTTGAAAAATAAATTATTTAATAAATTTTTCATTAAAATTTTAAAAATATTTTTTAATCGAAAATTTTTTATTTTTCTTCAAAAAATTAATTTTTAAATTATTTTTCTTCAAAAATTAATTACTAAAAATTTTTCTTGAAAAAATAAATTATTTAAAAAATTTTTCTTTAAAATTTTAAAAATATTTTTTAATCGAAAATTTTTTATTTTTCTTCAAAAAATTAATTTGTAAATTATTTTTCTTCAAAAATTAATTACTAAAAATTTTTCTTGAAAAAATAAATTATTTAAAAAATTTTTCTTTAAAATTTTAAAAATATTTTTTAATCGAAAATTTTTTATTTTTCTTCAAAAAATTAATTTGTAAATTATTTTTCTTCAAAAATTAATTACTAAAAATTTTTCTTGAAAAAATAAATTAGTCAAAAATAATTTTTGATTCAAAATCAATTATTTAAAAATAATTTTTTGTCAAAATAGACTACTAAAAATCTGTATTAAATAACTAGTATTTATTTATTTAAAAATTTTAGTAAATTTGAAAGTAATTCTTATTCTGAAAAGATATTTCAATTCGAAAATTTAAAAATTTTATTACATATTAGAAATAAAATCTAATTTTTAACATTTTGTTTTATATGTATATAAAATTTAGTTTTATTAAATATATTTAAAAATTAAATATTTTAAAATTTATTTAGTTTCATTTAAAAATAAAAACAAAAATTATTTTAAATCCTAAAAATTTATATAAAATTAAAAATTATGAAAAAATTCAGTTCAAAATTTTATAAAATAAATATATTAAAGATATTTAAAAATTTTAACAAAAATTAAAAATTTTAAAATTTCATTAATTGTTAAAAGTAAATATTTGGAAAAACTTAATTAAACATTTAAAAACAAAATCAAAAATTTTTAATATGTTTTATTTAATAAAAGGTGGATATGAAAATATGGGATAAATTAATGGGATAGAATATGGGAAGGATAGGTTAATGAATGATAAATATTAAAATTTTCTGGCTGCTTTTATATGGCTCATTCAGGCAGAAAATCCAAAGTACACTCCAATAAATTAAAGATTGTTTAAACCAAATGTGTTTATTGAAGGATTGAATTTAAACATTTTAGGAGAGAGATTAGGATATAAACACTTTGATTAGTAATCCTATACTATTTTTATTAGTTTTTACGGAAAAACAGCTTTTTAGCGAGCAAAGGCTAATCACCATTGTTTATACAAAGTTACAGATATAAAAAATATGAATAATTGTTTTTTAAAATAAACATAGAGCGATTGACAGCACTGTTTTCGCAAAAAAAGAGCAAAGTTTTTCCGTAAAAACTAATAAAAATAGTATAGGATTACTAATCAAAGTGTTTATATCCTAATCTCTCTCCTAAAATGTTTAAATTCAATCCTTCAATAAACACATTTGGTTTAAACAATCTTTAATTTATTGGAGTGTACTTTGGATTTTCTGCCTGAATGAGCCATATAAAAGCAGCCAGAAAATTTTAATATTTATCATTCATTAATTTCTACTTTCCCCTTTTATAATATATTTAATAATTACTCTTTTATATAATTTTAAATTACTTATTACATCCATTAAAATAGCTTCAACCTTCAATTTATTTTTTTAATATTTAAAATTTGACTTAATATAATTTTAGTTTTTTAAATGTAATTACCCACTCATAACTTTTAAATATTTTAAAATCCGTTTTAACATTTGGCTTTTCATAATTTAAAAATTTTCTTTTAGAAATTAACCTCACACTTTTTACCCTGCCTACCTCATTTGGTGAAAAATATTCCATTAAGTAGTAACCCTAATCTCTCATATTTTTTAAAAATATTTCAATAAGTAGTTACCCCCCTACCCACCGCATATTTTTTAAAAATATTTCAGTAAGTAGTTACACCCTACCCACCTCATATTTTTAAAAAATATTTCAATAAGTAGTTACCCTGCCATCCTCTTATTTTTAAAAATTTTCAATAAGTAGTTACCCTGCCACCCTCTTATTTCTAAAAATATTTCAATAAGTAGTAATCCTCCCTCATTCTTTTTAAAAATTTTTAAAGCACACCCTCATACTCTTATAATTTTTTAAAGCAGTAGTTAATCCACCGCCTATTAAATAAGTAGTAAACCTACCCTTCTCATATTTTTTTAAAAATTTTTCAAATAAGTAGTAACCCTGCCTACCTCATTTGGTGAAAAATATTCCATTAAGTAGTAACCCTGCCACCCTTCTATTTTTAAAATATTTCAATAAGTAGTTACCCCCTACCCACCGCATATTTTTTAAAAATATTTCAATAAGTAGTTACACCTCTACCCACCTCATATTTTTAAAAAATATTTCAATAAGTAGTTACCCTGCCACCCTCTTATTTCTAAAAATATTTCAATAAGTAGTAACCCTGCCTACCTCATTTGTTGAAAAATATTCCATTAAGTAGTAACCCTGCCACCCTCCTATTTTTAAAAATATTTCAATAAGTAGTTACCCCCTACCCACCGCATATTTTTTAAAAATATTTCAATAAGTAGTTACACCTCTACCCACCTCATTCTTTTTAAAGCTATATTTTTTTCAATCAGTAGTTTTACACTTAAAGTTCTAAAACATTTTTTTAATATGAGTTGTAACACCAATCTAAAACATTTTCATAATAGTTAAACCCCGCCCCTTGTACTTTAACTTTGCCACTTTTCGTTTTATATTCAAATTTATTAAGCATTTTTATTTAATAGCTTTTATTTTAATAAATTTTATAGATTTGCAGAAAATGGATCAAACCGTGGATTTCAATTCCCGCGGCAATAATAAAGGTAGATGATAAAATTGCTAAATGTTTAATTTACATATGGCATTATTATCATTTACAGAAGCAATGATTACGAACAACAGGGATGGAGATACTCGTAATATGCTTAATGATGATTGTTCTGCGAAGGCCGTAACGCCAATAGAAGGTGGGTGATTTTTTACATATTTCTTATGTTAAAGGAATTTTAGCTATAACTATTGCGGAGATGGAAGAAGTTCGTGCTTTCATAATTGAACAGCGAAAGAAGAAGGAAGCCGCTGAAGCGCGTCGGAGACGCTCAATCACAAAATCAAGTACTACACTAAGTTCAGTATCTTCCAAAAGCAAGCCGCCCTCCGCAAAAAAGATGCAAATTAAAAAAGTCAAAAAAGCTTGCCATAATGATGGAGTGATAAAGGTAAAAAATTTGAATGTTATTTCTAAAATTCAAAAAATTAAGGCAATTGTTGAGCGTAACAAAAATGAAGAAAATGTTGAGCCTGTTGATGACGTAATGATGGACTATGAGGATGAAGAGGATGATTCTGAAGATCCTGACTCCAATGAAATCTTTGATTTAGGCGATAATGAGGAAGAGTACAAGAAAATGAAGGCTGAGCGTACGTTAACATTAATTTTATAAATAAAGAAATTTAGGCCAACAACGTCCAATGAATTTAGTGCCAGAGGGAGTACTCAACCGGGCACAGATTCTCAAGGTGCCGCGCAAAGGGCTGTTCATATACCAATGCAATGAATGTCGCGATGATCAAAAGAAGAGAGAATACTTTCTTTTCAAATGCGGGAGTTCAGATAATGCAATTCTTACAATGGAATTGTGCGCTGAGGATTTGGACAAAAATATTTTGTTGGGGATGTATTATTCAGGCCCTTGGGGTAAATTAATATTTCGAAATAATAAACAAATTTTTAAAGGACAAACATCAAAGAATTTGAAATATGATCAACAAACATCGAGCTTTGAAAAAGGTATAGAATTTTGAAAATTTTTTAATAATTATTTTTTAGTTGCGGGAGTCTTTTATACTCGACGAGGACCGAACATTGCTAAAGGAAATGACAACAAGCTTTTAAGCCTGTTGAAACTTTGTTGGATCCTGCACCAGGTATATTTTTCTAAAAATAAATAACTATTTTTACATTTAGTGTGATTATTGTAGCCGTTTACAAACATCTCTGGCAAACGACTTGTTTTTGCAAAAATGTGGTGAAAAATATGAATTGAACTTTATTGTAAGTTTTAGTAAAAAACTAATTAATAAAGATATTTAGCTTTGTCCTATATGTTTGGCAGCAAACAAAGAATTTCAACAGAAAACATATAATTTATTCAACACTTTTAACAAGAACAAATGATTACAATATATTCTTTTGTTGAATAAAATTTTCAATTATTTTTTGAATTCTATTAATGGCGTTTTTTCGCTTATATTTTCAATTATATTTCATCCTTTTTTAACTTATATTTTAGCTGAAAATATCAACACGGATTTGGAAAAATGTTTGATTAATTTCTTTTGTATTTTAAAGTAATATTTCAGATGGATCGACATGTGGCTGAAGTTGCTATTGAGTCACTTAAGGAGAAACGCATCCGGTTAGCTCATCAACTTGAGGTGTTAATGGGAATTGAATTAGATGAAAAACAATTGAAGGAGGATTTTTATGCGGCATTCATTAAACATCACAGAAAGCAATATCCTCAAATTACAATTGGCCGAATACACGAATACTTTTTGAAGCAACGAAATGCTTTGGGAAGACAAGTTATTTTAAATCTTATAAATTCAATTAAATATTTTCAAGGCTATTGTCGATGTAGTAAAGGATGAGTTGTACACTGCACTTGGCAACCCAAATAGCCAATTTTGGGAGCAAATAGATTTGGAAACGGCCATTGATATTTGTTGTTATTCGCGATACATAGATCCAAAGAAACGCAGAGGTATTTTATAATTGAAAATTTTTGTAAATTAGATTTTCAGAAAATTCCCCCATTATTATTATGAATGATATAACCAAACGTGTTGAGTCTCAGCTTAACATCAATGAAGAAGGTGAAGGCACATCTGGGACTATTACTATGGAGCATGCAGAGGTGGCTAATATTTTTGCAAACAACGAGGATATGCAGACAGAAGATTGGTGAAAAGTATTGTGATTTGTTTAAACATTATTTTCATAGAATAAATAATCTAAAATTCATTCATTTTTAATTTAGCGTCAATTTCGCAGTTATATTTTAAATAATTAATTTTTGTGTTAATTTAAAAAATAGATGAGTCGCTCAAAAATTGTTGGCGAATTTCCAATCAAACATTTTTACAGTGAAGAAGTATCTGAGAACATTAAAAGCACAAAATTTAAAATAGGAGTTTTTAGGTCTAATATTAATTTTTATCAATTAAATTTTAAATTTCAGAACTGTATTTACTGTGAAGAATGTCAATGATGCTCCAGAAGGTAGTGATAAACTATTAGAAGATTTGGTAGATCACTTCCTTGCAAAGGCCGACAACGCTTCAGGTGCAAAATCTGAGAAGTGTTCAATCATAATAAGAAGTTCGGTCCTTGAAAAGCCCATTCAAATTCCATATAGAGGTCTTGCTCAGAACACTCCCCAGGTTGTTATGGAACAATTTGATGCAGTTGATCAAAGTGGGAAACGCATGGGCAGGCCTTCTCTATACAGCCAGCCTATACATATTGAGGTAAATATTATTCGTTAATAATTAAATAAATTTTGTTTAGATTGTTATGGGCCCTTCGCATGATGAGGCTCTTGAATTATTAAAACAAGGCCAGGGAGGAATGGGTAGGAAGGCGAGAGAAATTCACCAAGGAGTTGATATCAACAATCTGATCCCTGTAATTATTTTTTTATTTTCATTAAAGTTAAAATATTTAGGTCCATAACGAAACTCTTAACCCACCTGCCAACGTTCATTGTTTAATTCTCGCTGTTCAACTTAAAATACTACATGTCAACCTAGATAAGACAATTTTGGCGAATAAAAAATTTCAAAGGCTTGTAAATGGACAAAATAAAAATGCGAGATTCAAGCGTGAATTTTTGATTAAAGAAATGCTGCAGCATCTATTCAGACATGGAATCCGCTATCCTACTTGCGCTGCACAGTATACTGTTGAAGAGCATGTTCCGATGTTACAACGTTATCTGAATTTGCGTTTTCCTGGCAAGTACAGAATATCTGTGTTTGGAGAACAAGGAAAATTGCGCCCGTTATGGAAAGGAACGGAAAGGGCAGAGCATGAAATTACTTTATACTTAAAAGAAGAACATTATTATGGAATCAGAAATGTTAATGCACTTTTTGGATCGTATTATTGTATTGACTGTGAGGCTCCTTATACTAAGAAAGTTGATCATCGCAAAAAATGCGTCGCTAAATGCCCTCGATGTTGTGGAATGGGTTTTGGATTTCCATGCAAAGTGCTTGAAGACTTTTCAAAAAAATGTTTAAAATGTTTAAATATATTTAAAAATCCCGACTGCTATAAAAGACATATAGAGAAAGGAATTTGCAAGATCTTTAAACGGTATTATTAAATAGTAATATGTATATCAAACTTTTTAGATGTGAGGAATGTGGACATATATATCGTGTCAAAAAAGTTAAATCACAAGAATCTGAAAGCGAATCCACAGATGACGATGTTGAAAAAGACGACGGACATACATGTTTTATTCGGTATTGTTCTCTATGTCTTTCAAAGCACAAGCTAGAAGAACATTGTTATGTGCAACCAATAGTACCAAAACATAATCAAGAATACTTATTGGTATTTAATCTTAAATTTTAACAATAAATAGTTTTAGATTCCCTTTGACTTTGAATGTGAGCTAATTTCTCCGACAAGGAATCAAGAATATTGGGATCAGCTACAAAAGGATAATCCTATAGAATCTTTACCTAATGATGAAAATTATCAATTACACCATGTAAACTGTGTATCGGTATTTATTTACTATGTATAAAAATATTGATCAAATTAGGCATTGTTGATGTGTTATCAATGCATAGTCAATGATAACTGGAGAAATGAGAGAACTGGTTCTTGCAAAATTTGCGGGATTAACAAGCCAAGGATGAGAACTTGGACAGCCGCAGACTTTTCAAATCCCTTGCGTGAATTTTTGGAATGGTTGATTAATGGGTTAGGGAATCAGCGAACAGGGAAAACTTATGCTATTTCACATTATGGAGGGTTTGTTTAATTATATTCCATTTTCGCATTATTAATTTAAGTCGATATGATATGCATCTGCTATTAGGGGAATTAATGAAACATTTTGGAATTGAGCCAAAAATAACGAGAACAGGAAACAAGCTTTATGAAGTTCTAATTAAAAAACAAAGAAGACGATTTCCTTATATTTCGTTTCGTGACTCATTCAATTGGACAATGCTTAAATTGGAACAACTCCCCAAAGCTCTTGCACTTGAAATCGACGAAGGTGGAAAGGTAATAAAAACAAACCGTTTTGCCTTCGTGAACAAATTGTCGAATATTGTCAACAAGACGTGCGTATTCTAGCTCATGCACTTGTGAAGCTTCAACGCCTTTTCTTTGCATTAGCTACAGAGCCTGCAAAGCGTGATGACGTACTTGTTAATTCAATGACAATTGCAAGCGCTTGTATTCGCCATTTTTGTATGTTTTTAAAACTAATTAAATATTAAAAATTCTAAGGTATAAACTATTTGAAAAAGGCCCAAATGGGTATTATTCCCGACAATGGATATCATAAAGATACAAACAAATCAGCAATCGCTTTAAAATATCTTCGATGGCTTTCTCACAAAACAGAGCTTCGTATTCAACATCGGGAAAGCCCGGAAGGAGAAAAGAGGGTACGTGTTTCCGACAGAAGTCTTTTACGACTGGATGGTTATATTAAAAGCACTCATGGAGGTTGGGACCAAGCAATTGAATTCCTTGGATGTGCCTGGCACGGACATGAATGGTAATTAAGATTCTATTTCAAATAAATCTTTTTTTAGTTTATATCGGCCACATGAAGTTTGTCTAAATGGAAAAACTGCGCTATATAATAAAGATAAACTTGATGAACGTATTCGATTGTTGAAGGAAGCTGGAATTTGGACTATTCCCGTTTGGGAATGTGAAGTAATGAAAGACCTTGAAGAGTGCCCTGAAATGTCTCGTTTCTTTGATAAATTGCCAGACATTGGCCCTCTTTACCCTAGGGATGCTTTCCATGTATGATTTGTTAAATTCATTATTAAATTTTAAATTAAGGGGGGTAGAACAGGTCCTCTTTCGCTTAAATGTGATCTAGAAGGAACTTTTGAGAATGAGTATGAGATCTCATGCTTTGATGTTGTCAGCTTATATCCTGCTGTGAATTTTTACGCCTTTTATCCAATAGGTGACTTTTAACTATTTAATAATTTTGAAAATTTATTAGGACATCCAAAAGTTTTGGAGTTAAATAAAAATGTAAATTGGACAAAGCCTGAAGACTTACATCCATTTAAAGGGCTATTCAAGATTTTCATAATTCCTCCAGATGACTTATATCTTCCAGTAATTCCTGAAAATATTCATGGAAAATTGGTAGATATTTTTTTAGAAATTTCCATTTATTAATAAACAGATCTTTCATCTCTGCCGTAGTTGTGCCGTGGAAGCATCGCCTGGGTTAGCGATACGTTCAAACCGTAAATATAATAAAGAAATTGGTCATGAATGGTGTCCACACAAAGATGATGAACGAGGATTTGTTAGTACAACTTGTACAGTAGAGCTTGAACTTGCTTTGAAGAAGGGATACCGTGTGACTAAATTATACAGCATTTATCATTGGGAACAGTGGTCCGACACACTATTACGTCCTTATGTTCAGGATATGATGCGTCTAAAAATTGAGGTTTTAAATATTTTTTTTATTTATATACTTTTATTAGGCAAGCGGTTGGCCGAGTAGTGTAATAGTCCCTGGTAATCCTGAGATCGAGGAGCAGCGGAAAAAAGAATTTATTGAAAGAAACCAAAGAGAATATGGAATACATTTAGATCCAATGAGGATAGAAAGAAACGAGGGGATGCGTTACCTTGCAAAAACTTGCAACAATTCAATGTGAGAAAAAGTTCAAATTTGTTGTAATATTTAAATTAGGTGGGGCCGATGGGCACTGCGCTGTAATTTATCTCAGGTATTTTTTGCTTTCAAATTTCTGACACTAACATTTTTAGGATTGTATAACTAGCTCTCCTGTCGAACTTCATACCATTCTCAATGATCCAAAACTTGAACTTGGTGCAGTAGAGATGTTGGCGCCAAATCTTTTTTCCGTTCCGTATAAGCAACGAAAAGAATTTGTACGCCCACATGACAAATATAACATTGCAGTGGCATTGATTACAACCGCAACAGCCCGAATAATGCTATATGACTATATGGAAAGGATTGTAAAAGAAAAGGATTGCAAGCTGTTGTACACCGACACGGATAGTTGCTTTTACTTGCATCGTCGTGGACAAACGCCCCCCTTTCGTGTGGGCGAGATGCTTGGTATGATGGATCGCGAGTATGGGGAATGGAATATCATTGCATTCTATACTTGTGGATGCAAGCAGGTATTAAATTTCTTTTGAGCAAACAATTATTTTTAAGTATGCCATGAAAATGAAGCACAGAATTAGTGGTGAAATTAAATTTATTGTAAAATGCCGCGGTTGCTGGGACAAAGTTGACTCCCCTCTAGACTTTAATCAATTCAAGGTTATCCATTAATCGTTTTCTAAATTTAAAAAATATTTAGAAAATGGTTGAAGCGTATGGAGAGGAGCAGGAGCCTGTCATTCTGGAGAGAATACATTTTCAGCCAAGTTGGAGGAGAGGAGAGGTTACAAGCAGATCTCAAAAAAGGTATTAAATATATTGTTAATTATTATAAATTCCTAAATTCAGACGATATGCTCCAATCTACGACAAAGGAATAGTTGATGATAATTTTGATTGTTATCCTTATGGATACAGAGGCGAACCACTTATTGATCCTATATACCTTGAATAAATTTTAATTAAAAATTTTTCTTAAATTAAATGTTTTAATACAAATATACTTTTATTAATCCAATTAACAGATAATTTCAGATTTGGTTATTTAATACAGATTTGATAAAAATGACCAACAATTTAGGTAATTTAATTTATTAACTAAATTCATATAAAAATTAAGAAATCACTACAGGAATGTTGGAAAATTTAACAATAACTTCAAAGAATATTTGCATCAAGACTACACCGCTAATCAAACTACTCTGCCAATTCAATGGAGGATGTGTACCTGAATTACTTAATTGTGAAATACGAGATAATTACACCGAAAATCTAAAATTCATACAATCTCTTGCAAACGAAGAAGGAATTTAACAAAAACAGCATATTTCCTGGAAAGAGATTTTTAGTTACAAACCATCTTAAAAATCGTTTCATCGAAGTGTATCCTAAAAATTTTACGAGTATGGGATCTGATCGAACTCTCGCTCTTCGAGGATTTTTATCCATAACAATAAGGTTTTTTCTTTCTTTAATCATATTATATTTCAAGACAATTCTATTATGTTCGACACTACGTTAATCTTGTTTATCCTCATTTGCCTCTTGTGTGTATTAAAGGAGGAGGAACTCATGAATACTATTACCCTATCGAGTGCTTGGACTTCGTTGAAATAGAGGAACAAACCTAAAATTATTTTTAGCATATTATCATGAATAAATATTTTTTTAGAATAATTTTTAAATAATTGTTTTATGCATTCTATCTATATTGATTGTTAATACTTATTTTAAGTTTGCAGAATCAATATGATCAGCGACGTCAATATTGGTACAAAATTATATAGAAAATTAATTATTAAATAATTTAAGAATCCACTTCACTGATGATGGAACGTCTTCATTTAAAACATGAACAAAATTCTCTACCCCCTGAAGAAATTATTGGGCCACAAAAACAAAATATTTTTATATTCAACTCTCCTAGATGTGGTTTTGACAACCGGTTTAAAACAACATTCACATTGCTTGGCCGGTCATTCAATTCAATTGAACAGTATTTCGTCTGGCAAAAGGCTAGATTCTTTGGAGATTTGGAACTTGCTGCAGAAGTGCTTATGCTCAATAATCCAGTTGGAATAAAACGAATTGGAACTCGTGTGAAAAATTATAATAAGAACGAGTGGAATTCAGTTAAAGACAAGGCAACTATTTATTTTTAATAAAATATTAAATAATATTTTATAGATAATGTATACAGGGCTATGGGCCAAATTTACACAAAATCTGCAGCTTTTCAATCAATTACGCGCAACGGGGGATGGTCTTATTACACATGCTTCAGCTTACAATCTCCATTGGAGTAATGGCTTGAGTCATAAAAGCCCTTGTCTGAATGATCCAAGCATTTGGGAGGGAGAGAACAAACTTGGTGAATTAATGATGGAATTAAGAACTGAAATAAATGCAAGTATTTTCTAATTCTTTATAAACATAGAAATTGAATTGTAAATTTTATTTTGAGCTAAGTAAATTTCTTCTTCTGACTTTGCGCCTGTAATAATGCATTTTCCAGTTGTGAATAGTATAATAACGGCTCGTGATTCCTTTAGTCTTAGACACATCCCTGGAAAAAATTCTGGATTGTAGGATATGTGTTTAGCAAGCCATTTAGGCGGAGAAACCCTCAATGAATCATAAAGAGCTAAAACTTATTTTTTAAGCAAAAATTAAGATACCTGGTAAATTTAGAGTTCCTGAAAATGTAAACGAAGAGACCATATTTTGAATAATGAAATCTCGCATATTAATTAATATTGTTGATGCCACAGAAATTAGTTTGACAAAATATATGATAGCGTTTTTAGAGTCATTTACTGATTTCGTTCCGACACAAACTATTCTTCCATTCGCAAAAAGTAGTGCTGTAGCCATTATTGGCTCTTTAATTTTAATTGTTAGAGCAGAAAAGCGCTCAGGACGATATCTAGCATTAGGAATCTTAGATTCAAGATGCGCAAGATCTAATTTGTTGTTATTTTCTAACAGACTGGCTGTAGATACCACATTTTGAATAACTGCTTTTTGATACATATTTTAGGTCCTATATAAATAATTACAAGAATTTAAATTCAAACAAAATGTTTATAGCTCCTTTCACTATGATAATTTCGGGTGCCACGGGGAGTGGCAAAACCCAATGGCTGCTAAAATTTCTGATGCATGCTGACCAGATCATAGATCCTCCTCCTTCAAAAATATTATATTGTTTTGGAGAAATGAATGAAACTGTCTTCAAGCTTAAAGAAATGGGAATAACTACTTATAACGGGGTTCCAGAAACTGAACTGATTAAACAGCATCAGCTCTTAGTTTTAGATGACTTAATGCTCAATATTCCAAATGATTTCTTAGATTTGCTATTTACTCGCGGTTCACACAATTGGGGTGTAAGTGTGATTTTTGTCACACAATCTTTATACGGTCGTAATATAAAGACGGCCCGTGCAAATGCCCATTATATCCTTCTAACAAAAAACCCTCAGGGTCTGCTGCAAGTAAGGACACTAGGCTCACAACTTTTTCCTAAGATGCTTAATTATTTTCTTGAAGCATATCGAGATGCAACATCAGAACGATTTTCTTATTTATTAATAAACATGCATCCTAACACAGATGAAAATATGCGATTATCTTCAAAAATTTTTCCCGGAGAAAAAACTACTATATATTTGCCTCTGTAATATATAAGCACTCAAAACATTTTATAATGAAAATGCCATCATTCAATTATAGCCCATACGTTAAGGAAAATTTTGAGTTTCTCCAACAATTAGCAAAAACTACTTCCGATAAAAAGAAAAACGCGCTAATCCTTTCAGCAAACGCAGATCAAATTTTAGCTATTGTTGAAATTTGTGCGAATATTTTGAAGAATAATTTTACCCTGAGCCGGAAGCAGCGCAGAAAATTAGCTCAATTTGCGGATTTCTATAGGGCAATCGCTCGAACTCGAACTGAAAAAAGTGCTAGAAATAGAATCCAGCAAGGTGGTAGTGCCGCTCTAGCCGCTATACTTGTACCCGTTTTGGGAGCCTTAGCTGAACATATAATCCATAAATTCTCTCAGGAATGAAACATACAAAGAAAATGATAATGGTGCCTGAGAGCGAATATCTCACACTTTTAGGCATGATTAAAAGCGGAGATTATCTACAAACAGAGAAGACACAGACGGATGTCGATATTATGAAAACCCTCGATGACCCTAAAATTTCGGAAGATTTAAAAGCAAAGAAATACAGTTTATTATATAAGAAGAGGCGTCAGCTCAAACATGAGTTGGAAAATCGGCCACAAAAAGTTATTATTGATGAAGTAAAACCCGCTCCAGATGTTGCACCATACTTGCAGGGTAATATCGCTTCTACACCAAAACCAAAATTAATTCCCAGCAAAATTCAAACATATTCTAACACCGAATATCCGTCTGAATCTGAAGTGACTCCTAAGTTGCAGCGAGCAAAAAGAAAAAGTGCAATTCCTTTTTCCAAGTTCAAGGGTATTATTGCATCACGCTATTCCACAGAATTGGATAATTATGTAAAAGATAACGCAGAAAAATTTAGAATAAGTAAGAACGGGAGTTTTGAATCTAATGTCCCTGGAAGACTTGTAAAGAATAGCAATTTCACAGATGTTCTCGGATATGTAAAGGGTGAGACATCATCGCCCCCAAAAGGTTTCAGTTTTTTATTTAACCGTCTTTCTAAAGACCCGTTAGTGAAAGAGATGATTAAAGAGACGCGTGGAGAAAGTACTACTGAAGAAAGTTCAACTGATAATCAATCAGGCAGCGGGAAACGAAAAAAAAGAGTTCTAGTAAAAGTCATGCTTATAAATTCACCTGGATTAGTTCGGCGAAAAAATAAATTTATGCCAAAAATATGGGAAAAGCTTTAGATACTTTTTTAGAAAAGATATATTATTCGCTTAATTCTGCTTCATATGCAGGAATAAATCGCGTCTATGAAGAAGCTCGTCGAAAATATCCTAAAATAAAATTTCAGGATGTTTATGATTTTATGCATAAGCAAAGGGTGTATACAATGCATAGACCCTTAAGAAAAAAGTTTCCCAGATTAGCCACTAGACCAAGCGGCCTGCACACAGATTGGCAAGCGGATTTGGCCATATTTGATCAATTAACTGAACATAATGATGGGTATAAGTATCTTTTGGTTTGTATTGATGTACTAAGTAGAAAAATTTTTGCGGTGCCTGCCAAATCTAAAAGATCCGAAGATATGATAGACGCGTTCGAAAATATTTTTAAGTTTTCAGAAGGGATACTTCCGCATAAATTATATACGGATCGAGGGTTAGAATTTGAGGCAAAACGAATGAAAGAATATTTTAAAAAGAAGGATATAGATAAGCGTGTAGTCTATAGTCCCGATGTTCATGCTTCTATGGCTGAAAGGGCCAACCGTACAATTAAGGAGAGATTGTATAGATATTTTAGCGAACAAAATACGCTTCGTTGGAAGGAAGTTATTCAAAAAATAATTGCAGGAATAAATGCAAGTATTAATCGAACCACAGGGGTAACCCCAAATTCTGTTACATTTAAAAATGCTGGGAAACTTTTTAATAGACTATATAAGGGTCCTAAAATTTCGCAAAATACTAAATCGAGCTCAATACTAGAGCCAGGACAAATTGTTCGTATCACAAAAGAAAAAGGTAAATTCGAAAAAGGATATTTACCCAACTACACTGACGAATTATTTCGCGTTCACATCAAAAACGACAATAGATCACCCATAACATATAAATTAAAAGATTTTGAAGGAAATTTAATTGAAGGAATATTTTATAGAGAAGAATTAGTACCCACACAAGAAGATACTACTCACCGCATTGCAGAAATTTTGAAAACACGTACACGGGCAGGTCATAAACAACATTTTGTTCGTTGGATTGGATACAACGATAATTTTAATAGTTGGGTTAACGATAGTGATATTGTTCGAAGATAAATATGGACTCATTTTATGTAATATTGCCCTCAAATACAGGAGGCGTTGAAGGAAATACAACTTCCAAATTTACTGTTCGGATGCCTGACACGCTTGAGTTGGATTCAAGTTGGACTGTTGCACTATCAAATATTATATATCCATTTTCCTTTTCATTACTTGGGGATTCTGAAGAACAAGAATCTATAACTGTTTTTCGAAGATATGGAAATGAACTTTATCCTATCCGTATCGAGATACCAGATTTGTCCTATGCCTCAGAAGAGGCATTGGAAGAGTCCATTAATGCAGTTTTGCTTGATACATGGAAAAAAGAATTGGATCGAGAGCGAGAGGAAAAGAGGCTTGAAGAAAATAAAAAAAGAATTTATGGGAATTTTCGTAAAAGAAGAGATGCCGACTCAATACGAGATCAGTATGAAAAACATGGTTATTTCGATCTCAACTCTAAAGAACTAAATATATTTATCAAGCTATTATCTGAAGAGGATGATGCAGTTAGTCCCAAACTTAAGAATTTGAGTCCAGGTGAAGGAGATAGAAATATTCGTCTTTTGCCTCCAGCAAATCAAAAATCCATTTACTTAAAAGTTATTGATAAATTTATTCTTTCTCAGCAGGCTCAATTAGAACCTGAGGAACAGCTGGTAAAAAATGGCTATTTCGATATGACAAAACAGATTGCATTTAATTTTATGAAATTTTTAGGTAAAGAAGGAATTCGATTACCTCCTATAAGCCCTCTAGCAGTAGATGGTATAGAAATGGTTAGATTCAATCCACATTCCGATCAAATAGAGAAGATCAAACAAGCCCTTGAAAAGTTTAAGAATCCTCCTTCAGTTGATCAAACTGAAGAGAATATTGAGAAAGAAGCCAATGAATTAGAATCTACTCCAGATACTCCGGCTGTTGATCAGACTGAAGAGAAAGATGTTACACCTATTGATGAAGCACCTACTCCGGATATAAAACAGGAAGAGGAAAAATTGCCTTCTGATCATGAGGTTATTTTCTCTTTAGAAGATGCCATTCAACAATTGGAAAAGGAAGGTTACTTCGATATGCCAAAAGACCGTGCTTATAAGTTTATACAATATTTAAATAAAGAAGTTAAGGACGCTAAACTTCCTTTTGTATCTTCGGTATCAGGCAGCCTTGTTGTTCGATTAAAGCCGCAAACAGATCAGAAAATTATATTAATAAATGCAATTAAAAGTTTTATGTCCCCAGTAGAACCCGCGCCTATTCAACAACCAGATCATTTACCAACAAGTGAAAATGACAAAGAAAATCCTAAAGAAGAAACGTCTGCTGGAAATAAAGAAAAAACACAGAGTTCTCCTTCTATTTCATCTACTGATGACATTCCAAAAGAGGAGACTCCCGTGACCACCCCTGTAACAGAAGCTCCTCTTAGTCCTGAAACTTCAAACGAATTGGAAAAAACAAATGATTCGCAACAAGAATCTAATAATGACAAAACTCCTTTAGATGGAAAAATAACACCTCTGACACCTGTAGTAGAGCCTGACGAAAAGCTCTCTCTAACTAATGACCAAAAAACCTTATTGGATATGGCCGTTCGTGCAGCTACAAGGGCGTGGAGGAATAGTGTGGAATTGGCAGAGCAAGCCCAAATAAATATGGAACTTGGTAAAAAGTATTGGCAAAATGCACGATTCAAGTATGCGCTTAAAGATAGCGTGATAACATTAAAGGAGACAGGGGAAACGGTGCAATTAAGGAAAACGCCAGAAAATATTCTTGGTTGGGTTAAAGCACAATTGACTTTGTTAACTAATCGTAAAATTGCAATACAAAAATGGACAGAGGAATGCTTAGAATCTGGAAAAAGAGCCTCAGAAGCACAACTAGAAGCTAAAGCAGCGGAAGCACGCGGTAATGTTACCGATGCACGAAAGTCCGCAGATCGTGCTAAGGCCGCAGAACGCAAAGTAAAGGAAGCAGCTAGTCAAGTTGAAGAAGCTGTTGCGGGGCAAAAACGTTTATCAGAAGAAATTATTGGTAAAGTTGACGCGGAATTTGTGAAACAAAATACGGCAATCGAAGATACTTCGTCAATTCCTGTATCTCCAACTATTGAAGATGAAAATGAAGAATTACCAGAAGAGAATATCGATGAAAATATTGAGGAGCATGATGAAAATGAAGTTCCAACAAACGAAGAGCAATGGACATCTCCATTACCCGAGGAAAATATTGAGCAGCATAAAGAATATGAATCACAAGAAGAAACGGAGGAAGAAGACTTGACTCCGAATGAATCAAAAACAATAACCGACGAGGATGAAGAGCAATGGACATCTCCATTACCCGAGGAAAATATTATTAAGAAACAGGAATTACCAACAATTATTGAAGAAGTTGATGAAGACGAGACTCCGAAAGAATCACAAACAATAACCGATGAGGACGCAGAACAATGGGAAGCTCCATTACCAGACGAAGAAAATATTGAAAAACCAATGATTGACGGAGTGGACACTGAGGATGATGACCAAGAGAAGGCTCCGCAGCAATCTCAAACAATTACCGATAAAGAAAAGGAGCAATGGGCCCCTCCATTGGCAGAAGAAGATCCTCTAAGTATTTCGCCTTCAACGGCAAATTTAACAGAAAACAATAATCATCCTGAAGCGAATAAAAAAATCCAAAGTGAATATCCATACTCACTGCCATCTCTTCCACGGCCTGAAATGTTAATTGGAGAACCTACTGAAAGGCCTTCATTTTTGAAAAGCTTTTTTGGACACGGTGGAGGAGACAAAACAAAAGAAAAAGCGCCTCTAAGTCATGAAAAGAAGGAAAAAGAACCTCACAAAGAAAAGTTAAAAATACACGTTGATGATTCGGATCCTAATGTAAAGAAAATGCATTTTGCTAAATATGCCTATCCTCCTGAATATCTAAAAATGCTACTTAATTTTTCCAATATACAACTAGCCGACCCAAAATATCAATGGGTTTCAGTACACTTTGATAAATTGCATAAGAGGTTCCATGTCTTCTTACAAGGAAACGTACATTATATTCAATTAAGCCGACAATTAGCTTATACTCTTGGTTTTGATTCTGAGAAAGTTCATAGTGGACAAGTGGCAAAATATATGCCTGATATATCTGGAGGTGTGCGTCAATTTTTGGTTTATGCACCAAGGCTCGTTGAAAATAGTATAATTGGAAACGTAACCGCTCCACTATTACGTGTTGTGAATGTAACTGGTAAGCCTGGTGATAGTATTTCCGAAGTATATATGACCGAGCATCAACATCGTATATTAGGTAAACGTCATCCAGACATTACTATTGAAATTCGTACCCTAGCAGGAAAACTAGTAAAATTCCATTGGGGAACCTGTATACTAACACTACATTTTCAACGCTCTCTATTTTAAAAATGACACATGTACCGTTAGATCTAGATAAAATAGACTGGGATCCATTTTTATCTGCGCAAGATGGTGGGGCAAATACCGACATAACTGATGAAAGTAGATATTTTCAGGGAACAAGGTATCAACGAGGTTTTGGAGTGTTCGGTACTGTAGGGCGTTTTCTAATGCCAATAGTTAAAAATTTAGCTTCTAGTGCCGGCCAAGAAGCAATCAACGTTGGTAAAAATGTGCTTGAAGATGTTTCTCAAGGTCGATCAGTTAGTGATGCCTTGAAGCAACATGGTAGCGAAGGTCTTCAAAAAGTTGGGAAAAAGCTCCAGCAATGCGGAAAAGGTAAAAGAAAACGCAAACCAAAACTTATTACAGAAAGTTTAGAAAAAAAAGGACGCCGCTATAGGGATCAACTTAGTTTAGAAAATTTCTGAGTATATAAGTATAGCATAATAACTAATTTTTTCTAAGTAAAAAAATGACCACATTAAAGAAAATTGATAAAGATAGTTCCGAAGGGGTTGATAATCGTCTGACCTTCTTTTCGATTCCTTCTACTAATGTAGGTATTCAGCGTTCCGCATACAAGGAACTCCTGCCCCTTAATGCTCTTAACCAGTCTGCAGGGCCGTTCATTTTTCGTTACTTTGGTGACACGCTCTATCTTGATTTGAGCAAAACTTTTTTAAGCCTGGTTTTATCTATCGAAAGAAAGGATGCAACGAACGGGGAGTGGGTTCCAATCACAGACGGTGAAGCTGCCGATTTCAAAGGAGATAAATATACAGGCGTTGCTCAATATTTAGGTCTTACATGGATTCGTCGTCTCACTCTTTCAATAAATGGTGTTCAATGCTATGACTCGGGTATACACTATGCATATAGATGTATAATTCTTCATGAACTTGGCGCAGATCGAGAGGTAAGTAAAGGTATTTACGAAGCTGCTCTTTATTATAAGGACGCTGTGGATAAAGATGATCATGATGGATCAGGATTTAAATCTCGTGCTTCTCGTTTTGCTAAAGGTAAATTATGTAGAATGTTTTCTCATTTAGATTATGATATGGCGCGTCAAAACCAGCTCTTAATTCCGCATAGTGACGTGATCTGGACAATATACAAAAATTCAGATGAATTTCTAATCCATACTCCAAAATTTCGTAACGCTGCCTCATTAGTAGATAACACACATACATACAGACTTCGTCTTCATGACATGAGGATTTTTGTTAAACAGGTCGATTTTTATTTTTTTTTATCAAGATCATACGAAACGAAAATGTCTTTGAATAATGCTATCGCTCGACATCTTGAACAGGCACCTGCAAAATATGCTTATAGAAAAATAGATATTCGAAGTGTTTATCTTGGAAAAGGACGTCAGGAACTTACGCATGCAACGTTCACTAGTACATGTCCGAGGCGTTTAGTAATCTGTTTTATAAACTCCCCAGCGTTTACTGGAAATACTGCATTGTCTCCGTTTACTTTTGAACATGCAAATATACGCTCAATTTCGGCAGAATTTGGAGGATTTCAGTTCCCCGCCGTTTCGTATGATCTTGATTTCGCTGATAACAACTTTGTTCGCGCTTATTCTGATATGTATGTAGGTATGGATCTTGATAATTGGCCAAGCATTGACCAAAGAACTCTAGATATCAGCATGAAGGAATTTTCAAAATCATCCTGTTTCTTTGTTATTCCGATGACTTCAACTCTTGAAGATACGAATGGACTAGAATTAATCAGGCAAGGAACAACGACTGTGCGTTGTATTTTCAATCATCCCGTAAAGGATGATGGATATGAAATGATAATTATGGGAGAGTTCGATGCAATACTGTCCATAAATGCAGATCGTGTTTTAAGTACTGACGGATCAGTTTAAAATGAATTCACTTCAAATTGAAAAAATATTATACCGCTACCCTACACTTAAAAATAAATTTTTAGGTGTTTTCTCTTCGAATAATATACCAAACATTGAAAAGAATAGACCTTTTTGTTTTGTTGCAAACACGATGCGTAAAGGTACGGTTGGTGAGCACTGGATTGCCTGCTATTCAGATACTCCAGATACTTTGGAATATTTTGACTCATTTGCCGAGGAACCAAATTGCGATATGCGTCAATCTATGCTTAATCGGTTTTCCAAGGTAAAGCAGAATAAATTTTCATTACAATCACCTCTTTCAGATACCTGCGGACATTTCTGCATATGTTTCCTTATATTGCGATCAAAACATACTTTTTCGTCGACATTGCAAAAAATACATTCAATACCTTCAGAGGGGCGTGATGCTATTTTACGAAATATTGTTCAGAAACTATCATTAGGAATTAGTATATAAGATAAGAAAATTGAGACTTCTACATATTAAAAATGCTGCTCTCGTTATTTTTAATTTTCTGCTTTTGTGTGGTTTACGCTTATACGCAAAACGATAGTAATATTCTTTATCCTCTTCATGGGCCAATTCCTCCAAATGTAAATGCCTGCTTTATTGTTGATAGGACTCATGCCCTTTCGATAGGTCCTTCAGAAAATCCTAATAAAGATATGTTTCTATTGATAGCGTATGTCCTTGATCTGGTACTAATTTTTGTTTTGGCCGTAGTGTTTAAAGCACATGTAAATTTAAGAAGAAATGGAAACGGCGAACTCCCGGGAATTAGGTTTGCTAAAGGACCCCTTAGTATATAAGTCATTAATAATAAAAACGGAAGATGAACAAGATGCGAACTAGCGACAACTCGACAGGAAGGAGTGAATCTTCCAAAATATCTCCGCCCTTAAAAACTGGTCCTCTTCTTCAGATACTTTGTAAATTCAATGGAGGATGTAGACCAGAATCTTTGCACATCGAAATGAGAAAAAAATACAAAGAAAATTTACAATTCTTACAAACACTTACAAGCACGACTAATGAAGATATTGCCGTTGCAGGAATTGGACAACGTGAATTTTCTGATGGTGAGCCTGGAAAGAAGTATTTGGTTACAAATCATTTGCGTCATATTCAGTTTGAAGTATACCCAAGTAAATTAACAAATATGGGCGCTGATCGCGTGTTTGCATTACGTGGATACCTACGCGTGACCATCAGACAATATTTCTATGTTCGCCATCACATAGATCTCATCTATCCACAACTACCCTTGATATGCGTTTTTGGCGGAAGAAACCACCAATATTTCTACCCTATTGAATGCTTAGACTATGTAGACGTTGAAGAACAGAAAAATTAATTTCATATAATTTTAAATTTTATTTAAATAAAGTTTGAAAAATTTTTATTACAAATTAATTATTTAAAAGATGCATTTTTTAAGTATTTTTGTTTAATATATTTTTCCTTCAAATTTATTATTTAAGAATTTCATTCGTTTAAAAATTTTATTTATTTTTCAAACATAATTTTAATTTATAGAATTGTATTTTTACGCGGCTTTTAAGACAAAACTTGTTTTGTCTTATAAGTCGTGTATAGACTACTACCGTCTCGGGCTTTTAACATCCTCAATTCCATAATTAAGAATATCCCAACCATCATAACTATATAATCCACCGAAAAGTGCAAGGGCTATATTGCCTGGACGAAAGTTGGTATTTTCAAAGGGATGATAGAAATTATTAAATTGAACATCTTTAAATTGAAAAAAATTTTTTTTAAATTATTTTCCCAAATAAATTAACTTTTCCCAAATAACAAAAAATAAATTCCACAAATTATAATTATACCACTAGCCACAAATTTGGCAATAACTGAAATAATTTGAACTCGAGAGACTACATGACGTAAAGAAAAACAATTTATGAAGAAAAGTAATACTGAAAGGGAAAAAGAATTTTTTTTAGTTAATTATTTTTATTTCAAAAATTTACTAAAAAAATTCTAATAAAATTAACGAAAAAAT